CCGCATCAAAGGACGTGTAAGACACCGAACACGACTCCGGATCTATAGCGTCATTCACCGACCCCCCCTTAGGGAAGGACAGGTGGTGAATTAACCGAAACGCATTTGGCTCCTTCTTAGGCACAACCCCCAAGGGAGAAACCACCAGATCCGCAAACGGCGCACAAGTAAACGGACCACCCATACGAACCCCCCACTTCCTTCCGCAACTTAGCCGAAACCACCTCAGCATGCTGCAAGGCCGACCGTAAGTTCCGAGCTAAGGGGGGGACCAAAGTCAAAGTACAGGGGATGCGAAAACCCTCCAAAAAACCAGCCGTCAGCAGCACCGCCGCAGCCCCGATCAGGATATCTATTTAAGAAAGGCTCCATCCTTTCCACCCGCACCGGCGTCGTCCCTCTTACCCGCAGGCTCTCCGGGAGGGCCTCTACCCCGCCTGAAGCAGCGCGAGAAAGGATGGGATCCACCGCACCCGGAACACTCGTGCCTAAACCTACAGGACCCTCCAAAACGACAAGTGCCCTCCTGGAACTGCCAGCAGAAACCCCTACGCTTGGCGGCCGATTGTCCCGGGGAAAACGAACCACCGGCCCCGCCCTGAAAAAACGGACCAGGAGCCCGCGGCGGCGCCATGAGCCGCATCCAAAGGCCAATGTCCTTGTGGTCCCAACGCAAAGACGGGCGAACAGCCCTCCGCTGCCTAAACTGCTCATCGTACCGAAGCCACGCAGACCCGCCGTAAACCCTGTGAGCCTCACTAATGGCGTCCAGGTAACAGAACAACGCCGAGCAATGCTCCGGAGCTTTCTCCCCAATGACACTGGCCATGATTGCGAAAGCCTGCAACCAATTCGCAAAAGTACGGGGAATAAGCCGAAAACGCCGCCGCTCCGCATCCTCCCGTCTACCGTCATCAACCCGGGACCCATCAAACGGAAAAAAGCTCCAAAGGCAAGAGCGTGAATATGTCCACATACTCCCCGTTCCAAATTTGTTCCCGCACGGCCGACTGCAAAAATGCGCACCCAAGGGGCCCTCAAAAACACACATACACTTCCCCCTTCGCAGAGTCCGCCACGCCGACAGGTCCGGACACCCCCGAACCCTCCCCCAAAAACGCGGAAGGAACCGCAGAACCCATAATCCCAGACTCCGCGGAAACCACCCCAGGCCCAGAACCAAGCGGAGAAGAGACCCCCAGGCCCCGCACTACCCCGCTGTCCCGTCCCGGAACCGCGAGCCCGTCCCCACCGGCCGGCGGGAGCCACGCAGAAACAGGCCCAGGGGTCCCAACACCGCCCCGCTCCAGCCGCCGCACCAAGTCCCGCAAACCGGAAAGTACCTCCCCGAGACCCCCACCAAAACCAGACAGGGGAACGCCGCCAACGACCGCCGCCGAGGCCGCACCCACCGGGGCGGCCTGACCGCCCCCCAGCAGATCCCGCAACGCAGAAGAAAAAGAGACAGACACAGGAACAGATAACTCACCAGGCTGCCTAGGAGATGTCCCATCAGCCGCGCACTCCCGCTCCATCGATGAAGAGCGACGAGCCGTCACCCCCGCATCGGGTTCAGACAGCTCGCCCTCCGACCTCTCGTCCACCACTCGACGACCGGATGGCCTCCCAGTCCCAGGAGCCACGGGTCCCGCAGGGTTGTGCCGCTCCCGACTCTGCCTCTGGGCACCAGCCATGCCTGTCGCCAGCCCTGGGCTCCGTCCAGCAGCACTCCGCCCAGCGCTGCACGTCTTCTTCCGGCTTCTGGGAGCCCCGGCTCCCGACCGTCCAGGGGGCCCACCAGCCGCATCAGGGGACAGCCCAGCAGCCGCAGCTGACCGCCTCCCGCGCCGCCGCTCCCTCCCTGACAGGCACAATGTCAGCGGAGGAGCCGGTAAAAGCACTCCCTCTCCTGCCGCCACGCCGTGCGGGCGGGGGGGAGGGACTAGCAGACGAAACCCCGCCCGCCGAGCGCACTGCACGTCCTCCTCTCCGTGCGGGCGGGGGGGGGGGAGGGGCCACCTGGCGAAACCCCGCCCACCGGACTCACGACACGACACGGCCTCCTCTCCGCGCTGGCGGGACGGAGGGCCCACTCGGCGAAGCCCCGCCCGCCGAGCGCACTCCACGGCCTCTTCTCTGTGCTGGCGGGGTGGAGGGGCCACCCGGCGAAACCTCGCCCGCCGAGCACACCACGTGTCGTCCTCCTCTCCGTGCGGGGGGGGGGGGGGGGGCCACCCGACGAAACCCCGCCCGCCGAGCTCCGCCATCGCCGGGGATTCCTCCCGGCACCGCCGCTAGCAGAGGCCAGTGAGCGCCCTGCCAGCGGGGCCGGAGGGTCCCGAGGGGGGCTCCCAATGCGGCGCTGAGCTCCAGGGGGCGGGGCCGGACTAAAGCGCTCCGGAGGCCTAGACCTCCGAGCACGTGGGCGCCCCCCGCCCCCCCCGCTGCTGGTGACAAGACCGGGTCTCCCAACAGATCAGAGACCCGGCCCTGCAACCAGCCCATACCTCGCTCTTCCGCCGCCTCCCGAAGCTGTGCCACCAGGGCCTCCATGCCGCAGCAGTCAGATAGGAGGGGGAATTGCAGGACCCAGCTCAAATGAAGCTCTGGTCCTTGCACTCATCCAGCTGCAATGACGCCCCTTCCGCAGCAACCCCCACCCTACGGTGCCCACAGACACCTCCTACACTCTGCTGCCAATCCAATTATTCCCAATCCCATTCCCCACCCCTTGGAGCTAAATTTTTTAACCCTTTCCGTTCCCAACCACTCTGGGCCTAGTCATGTATGCCCTGCATGTATTTTTAAAAATATTTTAATATATTTTTGTAATATAAATGCATTTCAACATACAGTGTGTATATATACAGTATATATGAATATATTTTGAAATATATTGAATATGGTCAAATTGTAGTATTTCAAATATATGTCAATATATTTGGGAAGAATATTTGTAAAGTATATTTCAAATATATTTTTTTTCCATGTGGGAGTATAGTTCAGTGCAGAAAAAAAATGCAGCATGTTCTACTTTTTTTTTTTCAGGAACTGGAACTGGAACTGGTGTGACTTATGCCATTGGAAACCATGTAACATACTATCAATGCGTTTTTGGTGCAGAAAAAAACACAATGGCCTGCATGTGGTGTGAACCAGCTCACACCACCTGCAGTCCAGTTCCTTTTTTTCCTGCATCATAAATGCATGAACAGTGTTTTCCATGTATTCCAATGGCCCTAGTTCACACCAGTGCAATCAGTTTCTAGTGCAGAAAAAAAGTAGAACATGCTGCTTTTTTTCTGCACAGAACTGTACAGGATTGCAGCAAAATGCATCAAAAACGCATCAGAACCGCGTGCACTGTGAACTGGAAGCAAAAAATGCATCCGGAGTGCATTTTTGTGGTGTAAACTCAGGGGTATCATGCATTTTTTTTTACTGCTTCCAAATGACCCTCCATGTTATTCTATGAGTCCATGCACACATAGACTTTTAGAAGCTTTTAGTGACAGGGGCATTTACAGTCAGGGAGAAAAAAAAACCATGGCCAGTGCGTCCAGGAGCAGCAGCATTTTGGCATAAAAAACATTTGCCGCCCCTAATCGCATCTAAACGTGATTAACGCTAGGTGCGTTTAGTGTTTGAGCGTTCTATTTAGTGGTCATAATAAATTATTGTTCTGGCCAATGAAATGAATTAACATCCAAGCGCCGGACACCTGTAAACACTTGTAAAAGCATTAGACACTGAAAAGTTCTTCCAACATGCTGCTGCCAAGAGGATGAGCATGAGGCCTTAATGAAACAGAATCAGCAGACTGATAAGGTCATCCCTCTACTCTATGGCTGATGAGTGACAACACCGTTCAGACAGCAAAGACCCTGATGAAGTCACGGGGCAGTGATGTAACGTGTGGGTCTGTTAGCGGAGCGTGATGATGGCCGCCGCCATTTTGGTACACCCTGGAAGTATAAACCCATATCAATACATGTGTTCAGGGGCGGACTGACAACTCATTAGGCCCCCTGGAAATAGGGGATCATGGGGCCCCTGTGTCCTTGCCCACATTCAAAAAAAGCCTATGAAAAAGGTATCAGGGGCATCTCATGGGGCCCCCTACTGACCCCGGGCCCTCGGGCAGTGCTCAAGTTTCCAAATGGTCAGTCCGCCGCAGCATGTGTTTGAGGCCTGATTTCAATTGATGTGATGTAAGTGTTCATTTGGCATTTCTCCATTAAAGTTTTTGCTTTCAAATGACTACACTATGGAGGCGCTCTCTCTTTCTCCTCTGGGGTGCGTCTGAGCCGGCTGATGTTCCTGTGAAAAGGATTACCAGCTTCAACACCACTGAAATCATTCCGGTTATACGGGGAGGAAGGTCATATTCCTGTGATCGGTGTGATTTCATCATCTTGGATATCTATTAAGGTCCCTGGGAGTGTGAGGCCTGAAAGCTGTGTGGCCCCTTGGGGTCTTGGCGTGGAGGTGAGGAGGCATTTGATTTATATGGTGCCAACAGTTTGCTCAGAGCTTTACAATATAACGGGAGACAATACAGCAACAATACAGTTCAATACAAGAGGGTTAGGAGGGCCTGATCCTGGGAGCTTACAATCTAGGGGGGAGGGGCTAGTGGTACAAAAGGTAGTAACTGTGGAGGATGGACTGGTTGGAAGAGTAGAAGATTCCATTATTAGCTGAGGGCAGGATAGGCTTCCCTGAAGAGATAGGTTTTCAGAGATCGCCTAAAAGTGAGCAGAGTAGGCGATAGTCTGATAAATTGGGGTAGAAAGTTCCAGAGGATGGGGGAAGCTCTGGAGAAGTCCTGGAGATGAGCATGGGAGGAGACAATGGAGCTAGAGAGCAGGAGGTCTTGCGAGGAGCGGAGAGTACGGTTTGGGTGATATTTGGAGACAAGATTGGTGATGTAATTTGGGGCAGAGTTATAAATGGCTTTATATGTTATTGTTAATGTTTTGAATTTTATCCGTTGGGCAATGGGAAGCCAGTGGAAGGATTGGCAGAGAGGGGTGGAGGACACTGAGTGGAGGCCAGGGGAGGGATTGGCAGAGAGGGGTGGAGGACACTGAGTGGAGGCCAGTGGAGGGATTGGCAGAGAGGGGTGGAGGACACTGATTGGAGGCCAGTGAAGGGATTGGCAGAGATGGATGGAGGACACTGAGTGGAGGCCAGTGAAGGGATTGGCAGAGAAGAGGGGTGGAGGACACTGAGTGGAAGCCAGTGGAGGATGGGGGACACTGAATGGAGGCCAGTGGAGGGATTGGCAGAGAGGGGGGTGGAGGACACAGAGTGGAGGCCAGTGGAGGGATTGGCAGAGAGGGGTGGCAGAAATGGAATGGTTAGTAAGGTGGATGAGTCCGGCAGCAGCATTCATGATAGACTGAAGAGGGGATAGCCTGTGATGAGGTCGGCCAATGAGGAGGGAGTTACAATAGTCAAGGCGAGATATAACAAGGGAGTGAATAAATTGCTTAGTGGTTTATTTATCATTCATTTCACTCAGTTTCTTTGTTCATTTGGAGTTGGTGGTCTATTTACATGGACTTTATGCCGATTTGATGATCACTTATGTTTATTTTGATGGTCACTCATTATTTGTTATATGTCACATTGCTTTCATTATTATTTTTTGTGCTTATTGACACACGTTTATTTGCACTGTGCGTTTCTCACTGGCATCAATCCTGATTATAAGATGCATTTTTCGTTTCATGCACCTTGTATGATTAGTTTCGCACATATATTTCTCTTTGCTTTTTGATTGTCACAGTTTTCTTTGCACGGCGCTTTTTGTGCCATTTTTATTTAGGACGTGTTAGTCCTATTATGTTAAATACATCATTTATGTTCACTTGTTGATTATTGTGCATATTGTTTTCATCACACTCCATATTGCACTTAGTTTGGTCTGGTTTCAGGCCTTTACATTTTTATGTATTATTTATGATGTGTCGATAGTTTCATGCATTTATACACCTTGTATGATTAGTTTTGCACATTTTTGCCATTTGATTTTGGTACAGTTTTCTTTGCACTTTTATTTAGGACGTGTTAGTCCTATTATGTTGAATACATTATTTATGTTCACTTATTTATTTCAGGTACTTATATAGCACCATCAATTTTCGCAACGCTTTACATATATATTGTACATTCACATCAGTCCCTAACCCTCAAAGGGCGTACAATCTAAGGTCCCTAACTCACATTCATATACAAGGGCCAATTTAGACAGGATCCAATTAACCTACCAGCATGTCTTTGGAGTGTAGGAGGAAACCAGAGTACCCGGAGGAAACCCACACAGGCACAACATGCAAACTCCAGGCAGGAGGTGCCGTGGCTGGGATTTGAACCAACGACCGGAGTACTGCCAGGTGGAAGTGCTAACCATTTAGCCACTGTGCTGCCCACTTGGTGACTATTGTTCACGTTGTATTTCATCACAATCCATATTGCACTTAGTTTGGTCTGGGTTCAGGCCTTTACATTTCTATGTATTATTTATGTTCACTTGCTGATTGTTACTCACGTTGTCTTTGTCACAGTTCATATTGCACCTAATTAGGTCTGGATTCAGGCCTTTATATTTATCACCTTTGTTTTGGGGTTATTTTTTTTCCTGTCTTCCCACTCTTCAAATTATTGTGTCCTTAGTACCAGGGGCGGACTGACAACTCATGGGGCCCCCAGGCAATAGGGGATCATGGGACCCCTGTGTCCTTGCCCTAACTCAAAAAAGCCTATGAAAAAGGTACCAGGGGCATCTCATGGGGCCCCCTACTGACCCCGGGCCCTGTGGCAGTGCCCGAGTTTCCAAATGGTCAGTCCGCTCCTGCTTAGTACTATTGATATTAGCGCAACACCATTTTATTTGTGTTTCCTTGTGCGTGTCTAGGTCTAGGTGTTTGCAGCTTTTTTCAATAGTCCTATCTATACTTATAGCCAGGGGCGGACTGACCATTTGGAAACTCGGGCACTGCCTGAGGGCCCGGGGTCAGTAGGGGGCCCCATGAGATGCCCCTGGTACCTTTTTCATAGGCTTTTTTGAGTTTGGGCAAGGAGACGGGGGCCCCATGATCCCCTATTGCCCGGGGGCCCCATGAGTTGTCAGTCCGCCCCTGTTAAGAGCAGCGTAGAAAGTTTTTTTCTATTTTTTTTGTTAAAGCTCCTAGTGCTGCCCCTCCCTCTCCCAGTGTGAGTGCTGCTGTACATTGGATTAAAAGAGCCTGGTATAAAGACAGATTACAGATTATATGTAAAAGTACTCTGAACTATTAATTTTTTTAGTGGATACATAACTGGATTATTTGTGTTTTTAGTATAAGTATAGAGTTTAGTTTTTGAGGCTGAATTGTATTAAATGCACATAATGCAGCTGGACTGGTGTTTATAATGAACATGTAATCCTCATGTATTTAGGCTTTTACAGAATTCTATATAGGCTTAGATATTGTATCCCATCAATGTGACTTAGTGCTGTACAGGTACTAGTCTAGAAGAGGGACTCCCAAGGATTACATAACAGCACAGGGACATGACCTGCATGGGCAGGCAAACCATTTCTAGTCACAGTACCACTCAAGAGCCTTGAGGAACACTTTTACAAGATGCGGGTCTAGGGGGGGGGGGGGGGTACAGGAACCCCTGCGGATGTTATGTGGAACAGGACACTAGGTATGGTGAGAAGCAGGAGGAATTCTAGCATAAGTCTCTTTGGGGATTTTGTCCACCACTGCATGACCAGCTCCCCTACACAAAACATCCTAGTATGTGTTGCCTTACCTGCAGATGTAGAAGTGATTGATTAGTAGGGATATATAGGAACATATCTCGCTTCTTGCCTATTTGCTTTCTTAACTTCACACTTATTCACAGCTTAAAGTTTGGGGGTCATAGCTTACTCAAGGTTTGACAGTTCACTTGTTGGTATTCTGGTGATAGTGGAACATACCTGCTAATGATCCTGGAACATGCTTGCTGGTAATGGCGGAACATACCTGCTAATGATCCTGGAACACGATTGCTGTTGATGGTGGAACATACCTGCTAATGATCCTGGAACCTACTTGCTGTTGATGGTGGATCATACCTGCTAATGATCCTGGAACATGCTTGCTGATGATGGCGGAACATACTTACTAATAATCTTGGAACATGATTGCTGTTGATGGTGGAACATACCTGCTAATGATCCTAGAACCTACTTGCTGTTGATGGTGGATCATACCTGCTAATGATCCTGGAACCTACTTGCTGTTGATGGTGGATCATACCTGCTAATGATCCTGGAACATGATTGCTGTTGATGGTGGAACATACCTGCTAATGATCCTGGAACATGCTTGCTGTTGATGGTGGATCATACCTGCTAATGATCCCGGAACATGCTTGCTGGTGATGACGGAACATACCTGCTAATGATCCTGGGACATGCTTGCTGGTGATGGCGGAACATATCTGCTAATGATCTTGGAACATGATTGCTGTTGATGGTGGAACATACCTGCTAATGATCCTGGAACATGCTTGCTGGTGATGGAGGAACATATCTGCTAATGATCCTGGTACATGCTTACTGTTGATGGTGGAACATATCTGCTAATGATCTTGGAACTTGATTGCTGTTGATGGTGGAACATACCTGCTAATGATCCTGGAACATGCTTACTGGTGATGGAGGAACATACCTGCTAATGATCCTGGAACATGCTTGCTTTTGATGGTGGAACATACCTGCTAATGATCCTGGAACATGCTTACTGGTGATGGAGGAACATACCTGCTAATGATCCTGGAACATGCTTGCTTTTGATGGTGGAACATACCTGCTAATGATCCTGGAACATGCTTGCTGGTAATGGCGGAACATACCTGCTAATGATCCTGGGACATGCTTGCTGTTGATGGCGGAACATACCTGCTAATGATCTTGGAACATGATTGCTGTTGATGGTGGAACATACCTGCTAATGATCCTGGGACATGCTTGCTGGTGATGGCGGAACATATCTGCTAATGATCTTGTAACATGATTGCTGTTGATGGTGGAACATACCTGCTAATGATCCTGGAACATGCTTGCTGGTGATGGCGGAACATACCTGCTAATGATCCTGGGACATGCTTGCTGGTGATGGGGGAAACATATCTGCTAATGATCTTGGAACATGATTGCTGTTGATGGTGGAACATATCTGCTAATGATCTTGGAACATGATTGCTGTTGATGGTGGAACATACCTGCTAATGATCCTGGAACATGCTTGCTGGTGATGGCAGAACATACCTGCTAATGATCCTGGAACATGCTTGCTGGTGATGGCAGAACATACCTGCTAATGATCCTGGAACATGCTTGCTGGTGATGGCGGAACATATCTGCTAATGATCTTGGAACATGATTGCTGTTGATGGTGGAACATACCTGCTAATGATCCTGGAACATGCTTGCTGGTGATGGAGGAACATACCTCCTAATGACCCTGCAACATGCTTGCTGGTAATGGTGGTGCTGTGGAAAAAGTATTTGCCCCTTCCTGATATTTTTTTTGCATATTTGTCACACTTAAATGATTCAGATCATCAAACTAATTTTAATATTACAAAAAGATAACCCAAGGAAATACAAACTGCAGTTTAGAAATGATTTAATTTTATTAATGGGAAAAATCTGTCTAAACCTGCCTGGCTCTATGTGAAAAAGTAATTGCCCCCTAAACCTATCTGGTTGTGCCACAATAGGCAGCAACAACTGCAATCAAGCATTTGCGATAACTTTTCACATCGCTGTGGAGGAATTCTAGCCCACTCTTCTTTGCAGAATTGTTTGAATTCAGCCACATTGGAGGGTTTTTGAGCATGAATGGACAGTTTAATATCATGCTACAGCGTCTCACTTGAATTTAAATCTTTGACTAGGCCACTCCAAAACCTTCATTTTGCTTTTTAGCCATTCAGAGGTGGACTTGCTGGTGTTTCAGGTCATTGTCCTGCTGTATAACCCAAGTGCGCTTGAGCTTGAGGTCACAAACTGATGGCCGTACATTCTCCTTCAGGATTTTCTGGTAGAGCGCAGAATTCATGATTTCATCAATTATGGCAAGTCCTGGTCCTGAAACTGCAAAACTACCCCAGACCATCACACTACCATCACACTACCACCGCCATGTTTGATTGTTGGTAGGATGTTCTTTTTATGAAATGCTGTGTTAGTTTTATGGCAGAAGTAACGGGACGCACACCTTCCAAAAAGTTCAACTTTTGTCTCATCGGTCCACAGAATATTTGCTGAAAAGTCTTGGAGATAATCAATATGTTTGTTGGCAAATGTGAGACGAGCCTTTCTGTTCTTTTTGGTCAACTGTGGCTTTCACCTTGGAACTCTCCCATGGACGGGGGCGGACTGACCATTTGGGAACTC